ACGGATACCACTTTTACCAAGGTGGACAATATCTGAGGTAAGAGGGCCATTTGCAGCAATATCCCATCTGCCATACTCATCAGAGAGCTGGCGACCAAAAATAGAGTTATCAATAATAAAAATGTTTCTTTGCTGATAAGACACATCGAGGATGCCCCGATTAAAGCTTTCAACTTTTCTATTTAGAGAGTTTAGTCTAGTTGGAAGTAACATTGACAAGTGGATTTTGGATTTGGGGTAGGTTTCAGTAATGTCTCTGCACTTGGATTCGAGGACATGGAGGAGGTAGGCTTCTGATCGTGGATGAGACCGAGAGTTAATACTGTTGATTCCAGTATGGATGACAATATTACGGTAAGGGCCAATCTCAATTGCATCAGGGAGAGCCTCCATGTGACCTACCAAAACACGCTTCCCAGAAACCCAACGACCAAAGGTACCTACTGAGTCACCAAATGTCATCCTGGAGGTGTTTGAATCACCCAGAATGATGGTCGAATTGATGAAGTGAGGAGAAATATGTCTAAAGGTCAGGCTCACTCTCTCTGTGGAGACATTCTCGTCTGGGAGGATCCCATGTTTCCAAAAGTCCTGCGCATATCTCGTTGTGACTAACAAGCTGTTGTCCTGAAGGGGGAGATCTTCTGATTGGCTATCATCATTATTGCAGAAGGACATGGTACGGGCAGCTCCTAGTGAGATCGTGAGGATGTGAGATTCGGGATCAATCACAGGCTCATCATCTCTGTGCATTGGAATGTGGTTAGCACCAGAGCTATACTTACTAATGAGACACGAGTTAATCTTAGTATTCCTATCATTCACTGGAGAAGGTATTTTAGGAACAATTGTTTCAAGAAGCTTCTTCAGCACGTGCGGCATTTCTCTTGCTGGGTGCTCAGTGCCAGTGTACCTATACGAGAAGTCACCAAAGTACATTACTTCACGAGAGTTCTCACCAACACTAGTAAATTCGCTACAGTTACCACTGATGAACGCTTGGACTTCCTCCTTAAGTTCTGGTGTAAGGGCTAGAGGGTCATACATTTCATAGGGCTTGCACGGTGTCACATGTTTCTTTGTGTGTGGAGAAGCGGTATTAGGTGGGGTAGGGGATGTGGGACCAGGACCATGGTTAGGCTGTGGCATCCTGTTTGGTGGAGGCCGAGGGCTGCTGCTTCTGTTGCCAAGCGACGACTTCATGGATGTGACTTGTTCAGTCAGGTGTAAGAGGCTGTTTTGGATGCTAGTGACAGCTTCAGCTGTCAACAGGGTCGTGCTCTCTGGGTGTGGCTGGTCAACTCTCTGGAAGGCAGACTCACGGAGGCCTTTTATCTCTTGCTGTAGCATGTTCAGTTTCTCTGTGACATCATCATTAACCAACGCCTGGTTTGAAGAGCGTTCACTAAGACATAATGCAGTGACAACCTCCTTAGTTGAACGGATGTCAGCGTAGAGGGATGAAGGTACCTTACTAAGTGCGGGACAGACATAACAGCTTGGGCACTCCCACAGTTCCATTTTCTTAATATCTGATGGTGAAAGGCCGAGTAGATTACTGCACCTATTATGCCATTGCTGTTGACACTTGTTGCAGGTGATGTAGGTTGAGTTTTTGTCACTCTTCTTGCATGGACACTTCTTTTTGTTTTGGGTAGGAGTTCTCTTGTTTTGAGAAGGTGTGCTCTTGGCACTTGCACTAGGAGTACCCTGGTTTGATGGGGTTTTGGGGACAAGGCTCTCTGCATCAAAGAATTTGTCTCCAGTAACATCAATGGGGCTTTCTGGTATGACAGTAGGAGATTCGGTGTTACACTTCAGCTGCTCCTTGTAGAGGGAAACTCTTGATTGAGGTGAGTCGTAGAGGCTGTTATTTGGATCGTTGGGTGGAGCCTTGTGAGGACGAGCATTACGTAGAGATCTATCGTGTACCATGATTATGAGAAGAGGCGGGGGCAGCCGGTGGACTGTTCGGGGTGGTGTCCCGTCAGACAGGCCTCAGGACCTGGGAGAGAGAAGAGTAGTATAGAGTATAATAATGAGCAACGTGAAGGATGTGAAATATCATAGCTATATAGAAATAATCATAATAAGAATCTATAGACTGACACACTGACAGACCAACATAGACAGGATTGATATGAGAGTGAGATGATAGGGTTGATGATGTGAGGGATGGTATGGAGGATGTTGTGGAAGGTGAGGGCTGGGAAGCCCAAATAGCAAAGCTGAAAGGGTGTTAATTAGTCAATATCAAATCTGGGTATATTTCAATAAGACAGATAAGATACAATTTGAATACTTTCAACACTACTATTTTTATGATGGCCGGAGGGAGCACCATGAATACACAATGCTGTGAGCCCTCCAGGTGTGGTGACTGTGATGACTGTGAGGATGAGTGAAGTGTGTTTACATAACAACAGCACAACAAGTACTCAACTCTCAAGCAGGGCCATCAGCAAGTCTTCTGTTCCACCACCCCTGCAGGTTCCACACAGGCTACCCCATTGCCAACGAGTTTAGAGATTCATGGTCATTGTGCATTCATTGTACATCCTCAAATTATTTGTTATATAGTAGTGTTGAAAGTATTAAAACTGCGGCGCGAGTGTATTTTAATGTATGCTATGTTATGTACAGTATTAGGTAATAAGCCCAATTTGTACATGGCATGCGTAGTATAATGTACTCTGTGTATATTATTATTATGAAGTGAGCTGATTAGAGCTTATATTTATAGTTATAGTGAATGGAAATCTAGCGTCCGCCAAAACGAAACAACGGGCGCAATTCTTGTTAAAACTGTGCACTCAGTATAATAATAATCTAATACGCACTATGAAGCTATGAGCACGAGAGAAGAGTACGATACCGGACGGGACTGCAAGAGTGTGAGAAAGCAAGAGCGCAGCGCAAGAGACCAAAAGAGCAAGAGTGGGAGACAGTAAGAGCCACAGGATGAAAAGAAAGGAGTGTTGCGTCAGGCTTTGCTACGCCGCATCGGTTCACTTCCTTACCAATACTTGCCTAAATCCAATTCAATGAAACAAGCGATGCTGAATAAAAACAATAAAATTTGTATCATGTATTTTTAAAAACATACATACATACGTATAAAAGTTGTTGAAAGTTTCAAAAGTATTACTAATACTAAGTAACTTTTAAAATGTACTTTACAAGGCATTATACAACTTAGAAGTACACGTATCCCAAAGGCCAAAATATCATGCAATTTGTAAAATTTAAACAAATATTCTTAATTATCATTGATAATTTTCTACATGTGTCGAACACTAAAAACTGCAACCCAATGTAAGAAGATTTAACGTGTAGCCTTTTGTTATTGTTAAAATAATAAAAAACAATGTAATATCTATTATATTGCATCACAATTATAATGATATCAAAATATGATAATTGGTAATGTACTGGCCAGTATATTAACATAGATCCGCTCATTACGTACTCAATGTTTTTCATTCTCTCCTTGCGACTTATCATCGCCCTCCTTATCCATCTCTTTTTCAGTTTCACCTTCAATCTCCTTCTGAATAGCGTCTCCCTCAAGCTCCTTCTTCTTCCTACGCCTCTCCCTCTGCTTCTCCCTATCCTCCGCTGTTTCGTCCATGATCAGCATTAGCATTTCGTCACTATAATGACCGCTTTCTCTCCAGTCCACAGGCCACCCAAGCTCAAGAGCCCTCTCATCGTCATCTATGAGCTGCTCAGCATCTTCTATCCTGGTCTTTACTGCTTCCTCCTCAGCCTCTTTCACCCTCCTATCCCATTCATCCTCTCTCGCCTTCTTCTCTTCTTCTGTCTCTTCCTTTCTCCCACACTTATTACAATTCTTCCTGTAGGAGAAGTTGGGATAGGCACAAGACTTGCACCTCCACTCGTCTCCATATACTTGGATTGAGGTCCCCTCAGACTTTGGGGCACCACAACTTGAACATGTGCTTCTGAGGTGGCCTTTGTTCTCAAAGCGGCAACGTCCACACTCCCAATGTGTGCATCTTTCACGATATTTGGGCATTGCGGTAAAGGAGTAAAGGGCGGGAAGGAGTGGAGATTGGACAGTTAAGACAAGTTTGGAACTTTTGGGATCTATCGATCAAAAAATTTCAAAACAAAACTTACATAAAAATTATGAAACCTTACAAAACTCTCCAAATCAATCACAATGCCTTCTAAAGTACAATGAATCAATGTCCAAAAAAGATCAATTCGAGAGAGATCTTAGTTCCCAAAACAAGAACTTGATGTTTTTAGAAATAAAATAACAATATTTCAGCATCAAAGTATCAAACAGTTCCCAGGTAATTTGACACTACTACATAATTCAATGTACTAAATAATTCAATATTTTAAAAACAACTTTAAAAACTTTATCAACTACTGCCTGACGTGACTCGTGTGCCACATTGTACCAACTCTCGCTCTTCGCGCGGTAAGATTTTATGTAATCACGCGCATACTTATCGCGCGCTGTAGTGATACGTGCACATGGTCTTGTGGCTTCAAATGACCCCTGTAATCCATGTGCGGGGCAGGAGGGTCAAGCACTCTTTTTCTGAAATGAGCCTCCTGATCCATGTGTGGGGCAGGAGGGTCAAGCACTGTTTTTTTCAGGTTGACCCTCCTGCGCCATTATACCATTGATCAATCTTCTTTAGGCAACTTCCAATCACTTTTCATCCATTATTAACGAATCCCGATAAACCCTGACAAACCCCGACAAACCCCGACGCACCCCGACACACCCCGACAAACCCCGACAAACCCCGACAAACCCCGACAAACCCCGACAAAACCCCGACAAAACCCCGACGTGTCGAGGTGTGTCGTATCATGTCGGGCCCACCGGCTACATGATGCCTCAAATAACAGACGTTAAAAGTTGGTATTATAGCTATCCACTCTTCAGTTATTTGATGATTAATAACGATGTTATTTTTAGTGATCTTATTCTTAGCGACAGTTCTAAACAAACTTACGCTGGGAAAGTTGGCACGAATCCAGGTACCGACTTGTTTATCTGTTTCTTTATCCTCCTTGTTGCCATCAGGATCAGCAATAGCATAGGACTTCTGTTCAACTCTAGCAAACGGGTAGTGTCCACCAACTATCAGGCTTTCTAGACGATCTTTTAGCTGAAATTAAAACGTGATGATAGAATTATAGCTGATTGGTCTTTTATCCCGCAACACTTTATCCTGACACTTTAACTAAGGGTCATCGTCTTTTTATTGATACTAAAAACGTTAACAATTAATTGATTTAGACTGGAGTAATTGTCTAACACTGTTTTAGCTTGTTATGAAAGTATTAAAGTACTCTATAGTAACACGGTACACTGCACAGAATACTCTATAGGAGGAGAAGGACCAAAAACACAAACTCGTTCAGACTTCTGAACTGCAAACTTTGCAATTTGTAAATAACTGTGCTTCTCAAACAAACAAAAAAGAAGCAAGACTGTCGCCTACATATTTTAGTTTCGACTCCGCATTTATTATCAACTAGGGGAATATACACATAGTAATGGCACTACAGTACAATCTCTTTTCCTTGTTCTGTCCGTTATGACAAAGTTAAATTGAAATTTTGGTGAGAGATTTTTTAAGTATCTTGCAATTCTCACCAGTACATAAATATAATAATTATCGGATAAATGACGAATAGTGATGATAATTGCCTTTTGATAGCTAATGATTGCTAATTGATAGCTAATGATCGCCATTTGACAGCTAATTGAAAACTGGAAAATCTAGAACCAATACCTCTTGATCAGTATATTGTCTGTCATACGAATGGTGTCCTTCTTTTTTCTCAATAGCTAGTCCTTTTACGGGTCCCTGTAAAGCTGAAGGGAGGGTATAATCGTTATTTCGGAATATTAAAACTATTCTCGCATTCCATTCAAAAGAAAACTGTCATCAGAATAGACCTGGTGCCCAAACAATCTAGATACGATGCCATAATAAATTTGGCAAGTATTCCTGCAGTATAATTATTATAGAACGGCGATTTTCCACGATTCCAAAAAACCCGTACTACGACTCAAGAAATGAGTTTAAAGGACCAGTTAACTGAAAAAAAAGTTATCCTCATATTTTGACAGATTGTGACAAATAACAAACTAAGCAACGAGTCAAAATTCCTAAATCTCTAACTGCTCTCTAACGCGTGTAAATAGCGTTTGTATTATTTTGGCGATGACGTCACGAAGTCCCTTGCGCGCGCAGAGGAGCCCGTGAGACTGTATTTTACAGGTAGAAAATGGACATAATACAATGTTTTTCCCCGAATAACTCGAAAAGTAAGTAATTTAGGGTACATGTTGCTTCATAAGTTGTATATAAACATGGCCATTCTGCACAATTTGCACACATTTAAAAACCTTTAGGGCCTTCATAGCCCAATTTACCAGATACCCATAGTTTTGCATGATTTCTGGAACCGAAAATCAGTTTTTCGCCAATAACTGAAAAAGTAAGCACTTTAAGGCATATGTTTGTTCGTAAGTCATATGTTAATATGCTAATTGCAGTTCTTTTGCACCCTGTCTAAAGACTCTATCACAATCCTATCGAAAATGGGCTCAGCACCACGCCCAAAATGGTTTTTGGCGAATTTCTCGAAAAGTATGGATTTTAGGCCATGTGTTGCTCAATAACTCCTATATAAACATGCATATGCGGCTTCGTTTAAGCCTATTTCGAAGTCTCTACGACCTTCAGAAGCAAGGGGTCGGTTACGTTATTGGGTCAATATGGGCGTGGCCCTCCTGGGTTTTCTCCACTGTCAAAAAAATGTCTCCAAACGAAAATCGTTTATTCACACCTTCGGGAAGGTCTGTGCAAAGTTTCGTTAGTATCTGAACATTTGCAGGTTCATTTCCATAAATGTCCAAAAATGACTGGACTGCACAACTTTAGAGTTAACTTTAGAGAAACTCATAAGTCATTTATCTCAAATTAAGCTGTTAGTGTCCATGATCAACCTGTGGCGACAATGTTTTACGTGAAATGTCGTTTAACTTTAACCATCTAACAATCGATCGTGCCGTAATATATGGCCAAAGAATAATAGGGTCTTGGAAGTTCTATAGTTGTTCAGTGGGTCGATCGACTGAACACGTTTGCACTTGGTATTTAAACTTACCAGTATTTTATTTATGTTATGCACCTCAACTATAGTTAGTACAGTCCATGAACATTATGCTGGAATCATCAACAGTTGTTTCGAGACACATACTTTCCCCATTTCCATTGGAGAGGCTACTATAACACCCTTACAGAAGCCAAAAAAACCTATTGGTCCTCTGAAGAATTTACGTCCACTCACCTTGTCCAATGCAGCCAGAAAAATTCTGTCTATGGCTACTCTTAAAAGGATAGAAGAAAAAGTGAACGCCTTCACTGGTCCATGGCAGTGCGCATATAAACGCGCTCGTTCTTGTGCTGACATTGTTTGGTGTCAGCGAGTTCTACTGTCAGTTGTCCAAAGAAAGAAATGGGAGTATCATCGCATGGGCATTGATATGTCTAGTGCATTTGACACGATCAAACGCACTACGATTCTTGAACTCCTGAAACTGTGTGGCTGTACTGAGGATGAGCTGAGGATTGTCCGGTTGTTGTTGTCCAACACAAAGCTACGGGTGAAGGTAAATGGAGTTCTTTCAGCCGAGTTTTTAAGTCTCCTTGGAGCTTTCCAAGGTGACTGTCTATCCGGCTGTCTGTTCACCCTTGTCTTGGCTGGTGCTTTGAATGAACTTAGATGGACTATAACAATCAGTTTAGATAGGCCGATCCCCCCGATTACTATTGCTGGCCTTCCACTTGACACTGAATATGCTGATGATGTTGACTTCAATGATGAAGAGGAAGACAACTTGAGAGCTATTTTGACCCAGGCAACAGCTATACTCGAGAAATGGAACCTCTTTGTCAATGAAGACAAAACGGACTTCACTCATGTTTATTTAGCTAGTACGGGTGAAGTCGACAGTGATGGAAAATTAGTGTCGGGGAATGAAGCATGGAGGAAAAGTATCACTCTAGGGTCCGTCTTGTGTAGCAAAGCTGATATTCAGCGTCGCATAAACCTGGGATATGCTGCCTTTAACAATTACAAGAAGGCCTGGAGTGATAAACTGCCCCTAAACAAACGTCTAATACTGTATAATGCTTTAGTCGTATCGGTTCTTATGTACAACTCATCCTGTTGGGCCGTCCCCAAAATAATCCTTGAAAAACAAGATGTTGTTCACCGCAGACATCTTCGCACTATTTTGAATATAAAGTACCCAGGAGTCATCTCCAACAAAAACTTGTATAAACGCTGCAATGCTGAACCATTGTCAGAAAAAGTGGCCCGTAGTCGGTGGAGAATGTTAGGACATGTTTTGCGGGGTCCTATTGACGGACCAGCGTTTTCTTCCCTCATTTTTGCCATCAATACACTGGACTTACCAGGGAGAAGAGGAAGACCCCAAAGCAATCTATTCTCGCTGATTGTGCATGATTTATGTAAAAGAAATCTTTATTTAAATAATATCTTTGACCTGCATTATCTCCGTAATTTGAGTTATGACAAGAGATATTGGCGGAAATTGCAATGAAGTTTTTAATTTTTAGTTTTTGTTTTAGGGAAAGATTAGACTTGGGCGTTGTTTTTTAAACTATCCCTTGTTTAGAACTTTGATTTAATAATGCACCTCAACTACTGGCAGAGATTAAAGGCCCTAGATCTGATGTCATTGCAAAGAAGAAGAGAACGATATTTAATCATTAACATGTGGAAAGTTCTGCATTGCAAGTGCCCTAATGATATTGGTATCCAGTTCTCGGTGACTCTCAGACATGGTCAAAAAGCAGTTGTGCCCAGTATAGCTAAGTCCAGCAGTCAACGTAATCAAGCACTACATGACAACTCATTTGCAGTAACCGGACCTCGATTATGGAATGTAATCCCAACACATATGCACACCATCGAGGATCCTATGCAATTCAAAGCAGCTTTAACGAACTTCGTGAAGTCATTTCCGGACGAGCCTCCAGCTCCAGGATACAACCGTCGGAATGGAAACTCCTTGCTGGATTGGAGTGGTGATAAAACAGTTTCTACACTGTCCGGGGGGTCGACTTTTTCGATGGCCCGATAGAGGATTCTATGAAGCCCTACAAAGTAACAAAGTAACAAAGTAAGTATGTACCGATGATAATGCAATTAGGATAACAACTAGGTAAGCCGCAAGTCTAATTCAAAACACACCGCACACCATACACTCGAACTCCAATCTGTATTACTATTTGGTAGACCGGGTATTTTGGCGGGAATTCTGTTCCCACGGCACTGTTCTGATAGAAGCTACTTCTACTGATGGTTCCAGAGGAACGGCCGTAAAGTAGCCAGACTTCTTGTCTCCTATACTGGCTGACACATGCGGATTAAAATTAGAAATTTCGCTATGCTATAAATATAATTGCTCTCGGAATTGAACAAACTCCTACTTATCTAGATCCTTTCTAAATTCGTTAGAGTTTCATGGACTGGGGAAAAATAATCGGTACAGTCTCCCTGCTGGCTGCTTGTGTAATTAAGCAATGAAAACAATCCGAAATTATCACATATGACATAAGAACTGTAATAGCAGAAACTTTCTAACCTACATTCACCCGCCACTGTTCAAGAAGCTATATCACTGTTTAAAATCATGACGTGAGCACTGTACATCCAATCAGCTATTCCTTTAGTTAGGATGATAGCCAAAACTATAAGGATTTGGGAGAACTAGGGTAATAGTCATAATTCTAAAATTTGAGTGAGTTACATGTGTTTTAATGACAACGATAAACATTTGCAACGTATTACGCTATGCCAGCGCGCACTGAGGGACTTCGTGACGTCACGAGGCCACAGCTTATTATTGCAATAACACGCGTTACACGTACGCTAGAGAGTTGGTTCTTTCGGCGATACGATTCTTTACCAGTTTGTCACAGCTGATTTAAATCTTAGCCAAATTGGAGACTACAAATTTTTCAGTTAACTGGTCCTTTAACATCTCAATAGGAAGAATAATAACAAACCTCTGACAGGAGAAGTAGCCATGCTGTGAGTAGAGACCGGACGTGGAGTAGGTACCGGGCTAGTTGCCATGTTCACCAGGTTATTCCGAGGACTTATCTTCCGTCCTGAGGGACTCCTTGATGCCCTTATTGGATCAACCTCTTCTGCTCTGGGGATCCAGATTACTATTAGATATGCGAACTGATGCGACTTCAGCAGACAGCAGGCTTAGGTGTAGACACCAGTCCAGATATTCAGCACTTGTGATATTAAACTACGAACTACTAGCACAGAAATCTTTGGTTTCAGCACTTCCTTGCTACAGTACTACCAGTAACCTGCTTTTAAAGTACTAACCCATTATCAATAGGTGAGTCTTCATCCTCCTTGATAGCAGGTACCTTCAGTAAGGACGGGTAGCGGTGTTCAGTAAAACTGTCGCCCAGTTTAGGTGCACTATCTGCTGGTGGTGCACTGTTTGGGGACGTTGCACTGTGCGGTGGTGGTGCACTTTTAGATACGATCTGGACTGGAGAAGTCGGCTTTTTCTCTGGTGTCCTGCACAATTTTAGCATTATTTATTTAGGATATTATTTATTTTTTGCGAAGTTCTGTAAGTTTAAATCAAGGTAAGTTTTACCAGTGAATGATCCAGTTATATCAATGCAGCAAGTTTTGATGGTCCCATAGCTCAGTGTTTTTTTTGCCGCGCTAGAATCAACTTTTAAACTTTTATAGTACGTAGTTCAAAATGTTGGTTAGTATACTGACTACTGATTGTATTAAATACTGCGAACTTTACTTGTATAGTAAGTATTAGTTAACTTTAGTATCATCATCTGATAATTTAATTTGCAAGCTTAGCCTTTTTCCAAGATTTTTGTAGACATTTAGAATTTTAGATTGTTAAAAAATATACACAATATTAGTTTAGTATTGAGCTATTTTTTATAGTAAACTCATATTGAGTCTACTATAAAAGTTTACTCATATTGAGTTTTGTGAGTGGATCTTTTTCCATATGATATGACCGATAAGTGAAAAGGAAAACACACAATTCATGTCTTTAAAAGAACTTAACAATTGACATTGTAAACAAATTTTCAACATTCAAGCATGCGAAAATCAAAATCTTTGAAAAATTGCAATTATGAGCATCAAGAAAAACGCATATATAATGCAAATGGTCATTCTAGTAATCCTAAGTAAGCCTAAATCTAATGGAATCGGAAAACAGAATTAAAAACATTGAGAATAAATAGTCAAATAAATTGTCCACAAATTCATAAATACAGCAATACAATAAAATCTAAACACTAAAACTGACAGTTTTTCGTTGGAAAACTTTCTGCGCCTAACCTTACTTCCAACCCTCGTAGATCTCAATTCTCGAACTAGTTCCACCTATTAAAAGGTTGTTTGCAAAAATCTTTTCTTTTGCTGTACGCATTGCAGGAAAGACAAGTCTTCCTGGAACCTCTCCACACACATTGGTTGTTGTGCTGCCCCTTGGTGCAGAGTATCATGTTCATCTTCGCTCTATCACAGTTAGGCTTGCCTTTCGTCCTAGTGATAGGATCATAGCACAGGTCCAAATCACACGAACAGTCGTACAGATCCTTCTTCAAAGCCTTTTTCTCGAACTTTGTCAAGTCCGTCCAAACTTTGCATTGCCTCTTTACTTTGTTCAAACTGTCGAAGTAGAGGAGAGCTTCAGTAGGGTTGTCGCTATCTGGAATGTCGCATCCATCCGCATCAGGGTTGAAGGAGGTATCTTTGGTTATCGAATAGTGCACACTGTTGTTATCCCAGCCTGTAGAGAGATCATCTTTGAAGACTTCTAATATCTTGATCTCGAAGAGTCTGTAGAATCTAGGGACAGTTGGTTTGGTGAGTTGTCCGATTAAGGAGTCTTTTGGGAGGATGACAGCTCTCACAACTACGTTAGACTTGCAGACTTCTTGTTGTGTGATGTAGGCTTTGCAGGTCAGGATGTTGATGAAAAGGAGACAGAAAAGAGTCAACATTTCTAGATTGTGACCTAGAGGTAGGATTGGTTATTGATTCAAGAAATTTGTTTGATAATAGGGGATATAATTAATAATTTAATGCCTCCAAAATTATTTAAATAATAAAAACGTTTATGAGTAAAAGCGTTTTAGAATAAATTGAACTAGCATTTAAAACCATATGATAACTTGATGACCGAATGTACCCAATAGCACGAAAACCAGGAAACCATTAAGAAGTAAAATAACATGCAATGAACAACGGGGCAAAAAAACAACTAAGGTTAAACACAGAGTGAACTGATTCAGATGAACTTAAGTCACAACTCCAAATCTGATGAGGACAAGATATCATCCGCCCTATTTATACGAAGTTGGTTCAAGGCTGACGTAAGTGTTAAGTTTGAAATTAACGAATTAGGTGAAAATACATGACCTTTGACGTCACAGCGATCGTCACAATCATTAGGGTGTTCACTGTTCAGAAGCCATAATCCAGTAAACGATATTAGTAATACAGTTATAAAGTGTGATACAAAGTGAGAAATTCAGAGGAATTCCGCTGGATTGTTCTTTAGACTTCTAATTCGAGAATTGTTTCAAACTGAAGAATACGGGTAGGCCCACCTCCTGTCAGATTAGAATTCTGGGAGAGGAATGTGAAGAGAATATAATAGGTTGTATAGGTGAGGGGCGGGGGCGATCACAATTAGCTTTAAACAGCCGATAATCTGAGAATAATCTTGTTAGTCCCATTGTGATAATCTAAGTTTAATCCAGATGATTAAAATTTGATCTTAGAAGCTGATAATAAGGTATTGCGGACAGATTAACGTCATTGTGCGACTTCATTCTAAGAATAAAAGGTCAGGAATAAATTCTACGTATCAAGGAAACTGAAATAGCATTCTGTACGCAATTTAGGGTTCTATTATTTCGTAATTTTTGTTGCGTAATGAATCGAACAATCGAGCGATTGTATATCAGAAGAATGCTACAACAAACTTTTTTGGGTTCGGTGGATGGCTGGTCGATAAAATCCCAAGAATTCTAATCGATAAGTTAAATTATGCATAACTAATTAACTGAGCTATAATATCCACGACTGGAGACAACTCACGCTAAAAGAAACCAAGTTTTAAATGACCAAATTATCCGCGATAACCTTATAACCTATAAGTGATCACGTGACTTGGCAACATCTCAATACCCGTGATTGTGATGCTCGATAGTTAGCAGCATCATGTAGCATCTTAACACAATCACTGACATAAAGTTATAGTTAAGGCTGGCTGAATTTCAAAGCCTCAGACTCAATTCTATTGCATTTGTTGTAGATCAAAGACATGTAGCGGATGACCGTGATTAAAGGAGTTGAATGAGGTACTAAGATAGTGACCGGAAAGAGCAACATAATAATATTATGTTATTTTATGTATTATAACAACTGGAGCCAAGTTTATTTGGTTAATTATAATTCAAACTATAAAACAATCCCATCAACCCGTCATAAAGCAACATGACAAATCTACTGGAACCAACTGGAGCCAGGCATATCATTATCCAATATCAACCGGGGCCAGATATATAATTCCATCCTTCACCATTAACAAACTCTTTCTATTCTCAATTATGTGCGACTGGCTGAGCCCACTGGTTAGGTTAGATTGTTCTGGTTATGTGGATTTTAATGGGTGAACAAGATTACTCTCTCCTAACAAGAATCGAAATTTAAGATTTTATCTTTTTGGCTTTATAACTAGTAATTTGAAGCCACAATATCGGAAACCCGTCAATACTCAATACAGCAATGAAAACTCATTATGTATACACAAATAAAACGCACGGTTGAGGACACGAGCTTAAGACCGTCATTGGCAGATTTAAACGAATTTTACATAAATAACTATCATATTTTCCTCTTTTTAACGTATTTGCCTAAACATAATATAATTAATGAACTACAAAACATAATATAATAATATGATAATGTAGTTTACTTCAAAACTGTAGAATATTAAATTTATTAATCAGAAATATCATGCTTACTACTTGCACATTTTCTACACTTAAGACACGAAGCAATGACTAAAATACAACGATTTAGAAGTGGGCATTCAGAGGAATTATCATAAACTTATAACTTACAAAGAAAAGTAATCATTAAAATCTCTTCATCTTTTCTAAGTTGTTTTTTTGAAGACCAAGTCAGTTCCTATCAGTGCAGTCGTAACCTATACTTATAGTTTCTCAAAACTCTAGCCACATCTCTCCATTTTATGTAAGAAGGTGCAAAGTTCTAGAAAGTTCCAGAAAGTTGTAGCCCCCTAGATCTCATCAGAACCACATACTAGCGCAATGTTTCTTGGCTGGACTGTAACTATTGCAAGCAAGGCACGTCTTCTGCGCTCCCTTCCAGACACATTTATAGTCAGCATCCCTCGTGCACCGGATCATGTTCATCTTCTTCATATCACAGTCAGGCTTGCCCCTCTTTCTACTCACAGGATCAAAACAACGGTCCAAATCACAGTCACAGTCGTACAGATCCTTCCTCAGAGCTTTCTTCTCGAAACTTGTGACGTCACTCCAGTACTTGCAGGTCCTTTTTACCTTGCCCAAACTGTCGAAGTAGAGGAGCGCTTCTGTTGGCTTGTTGCTGACAGGAATGTCGCATCCATCCGCATCAGGGTTGAAGGAGGTGTCTTTGCTTATCGCAGAGTGTACGCTGTTTTCGTACCATCCAGTCTTGAGGTCGTCTTTGAAGATTTCTTGTATCTTGATCTCGAAGAGTCTGTAGAATTTTGGGACGGTTAGTTTTCCATGTCCGTGGTGAAGTGTGCTCTTTGGGAGGATGACAGCTCTCACGACTACGTTAGACTTGCAGACTTCTTGTTGTGTGATGTAGGCTTTGCAGGTCAGGATGTTGATGAAAAGGAGACAGAAAAATTGAATCAGCATTCTTAGTTTTTAACCTAGAGGCAGAAATATTAAAATCGTTGATTAACTGATTAATATAAATATGATTTACAGTTTAATCTTACTTTCTTATGACTAAGAAATACAAATTTTAGGACGGCGAACATAACACCCAAATTTGAGGTAACGCTGGGATTATGAAAGCCAACGAAGCTCCAAATAAACGCACTTAAATATTCAAAGAAATATAACATTTATACAAGCTATCAACTCCTTACAAGGTTTAAACTATTACTCTCCTAACTCCAAATAAAGTTTAAACTGTTAGAGGATAAAATATCTTATACTGATACGAAGATTTTTGGTTATATATATAACCAAAGATCTTATATTTATTATATTATATAATAAATATAAGAATTCTCAAAAATATCACCAACTGAATACTAAAGTAAGGAAATAACTGCATAAGGTTGCCAAGTCAGAACCAAAGAACAAAAGCAATTGAAAAATAATGCCGTTTGTGTCCGTTTTAATACGATTTAAAACTTTTGATCTGAGTCAGTCGGTACTTATATTATAAGTATTATAACAACTAACAAGCAAGTGAAGCACAGCAAGTTCTTTGATCAATATCTGTTTCTTATAGTTATATGAAAAACTTTTAATCACATGTTAGGATTGATCTTTTTACATAGTCCATGCACGCGATTAATTTGATATCTTTCCTTCTAGAATGTAATCACATGATCACTATAATTACACTATAATTACTATAATAATTATTATACCACCTATAATTATGATTATACCACTATTTAAACAGTTGTATTGGTCACTGGACTACAATGGTGATAGTGTGATAGTCACTAAAGTTATCGTACAGTCTACAACCCATATCATACAAAATAATAATAACAAGGTAATTAACTAATTATGTAATTATAGATAACAAGCAACAAATCGCAGTTTATAATAACAATCAAGATATTACACTATTGCACACAATAATGGTTAATGGTATGTTACGAGGCCCACTACTGCAATATAAAGCTTTCAAAAGCTCGCAAACTGAAACAATGAGCAAGAAAGAAGCATAGAGCCAGAAAATATGTTGGGGGTCATTGTGCAAATCAGTAACTTGTTAAGTATGTTTAAGTAGCAGCTAATAAACACGTGTCATAACTTGCACTAAAATAGGCTAATATAAGGTCATGATTGTAGAGTCCAAGTTAAGTGTTGGTTGTTTTGTTTGCATGAGTACATTGAACGTATATCGCACAAGTCAGAAATAACCCAAACAAGCTACAGGCACAAGGAAACACAATCAAAGTTATTTTGTATCGCACAAAGATAGATTTTCTAATTCTGTTTCCAGTGGTGGAAATACCGAACACATTGAAGAAATTTGCGGCAAATTCAAGTAATTAAGAAACTTGTGACTCACGCTGTCGATAAAATAAGTGTCATAAAACAATTGATGTGAAAATGTTTCAACCCTGAAGAATCAAAGTTGATGTTGTTAGAAATTTCATGTTCAGTCCCCTGATCCCTCATAGAACCGATTCCCAGATTTAATCATGGAGATGTTATAGCAGGTAATTCAATAGCTCTGCCACTTTTGTCCGCGATAATTACTTTGAAGTTTGACGGGTGAACTTTGCTGGCTATCATCGAATAGATTGAAATTTTTATCAACAGAAACGAGATCAAACCAAATAAGGAGATTCATGCCATGATCAATGATAAAATATAAAGTTTTCTTTTATTGTACCTTTTCTTAGTTTTAGTTTTATCGTCTTTTGAATCACTCCCACCATCACTCTTCGGACTTCTTTTCTTCAAACTCTGCTGCTTCTTTATTCTAAGACGAAATTTAATACGTGACAACATGGACATCTCACTAGATTCACAGAACAAAAGAAACAGCAAACTTCGCAGAAATCAGCTTGAGATGAGATATGGAATCTCCTTAACAAGTAGAGTTACAGACAGCGGACTGGTCTAGGTGAATTATCAACTTTAATGTTGGTGATTATAGCGATTTGGAGTTCCACAACTCATTGTATTGTAGAGTCTAACATGAAGATTATTCTTTATTAAAGCCTTGTAAGAGAGCCAGTTATACTCTGTTCAGGTGATTTTTCTATGAAATACCTTAATCCTGAGAATCCTGACGAATGTTCGGCGCACATAACAAAGGCATTAAGTTTTAGTTTTAGGAGTTTGATTTCGTATTTACCAGCTAGGTCTTAATCTTGTCTTAACTTTGACGAGTACCACATATTTCAGCCTATTTTGTGACTAGCACAAGGTAGTACGAATAATGTATGAATTATGTAATTAGCATGTTAATTAATAATGGGAGACTATTAAAGTCAGCATGAAGTTAAGGACCGTGAACTAAGTGAATGAGAGTTCGAACTAGAAGTCCGCAGCACGAATGTAATGAAAATCTAATGAAAATGCTAAGAAGATCCACCGTCCAATTCGTCTAATGAAGTGAGCTGAAACAAACATACAAAGAAACCTAGAAACTAGTTGAACTACAAAGTCAGTACCTGCTTGGTGACACGAGACTCTCCGAGCTGCTTTCCCTGAGTCGCGGCGGGGACGCCTCAAACGAGTTACTTTTTTCTGGTTTACTACTCATAACCACGTGGTTAGTCTGCAAGAAAAAGACAGTTTTACTCCGCAAGCAATTTTCATTTTTCTCGAGAAATGCTTGATCAAAATTAGATGGCAGGAGGTTATTAAGTGCACTATCAATTTGTTTCAGGATTGACTGCACTTTCTTTTAAAAAGGTTTTTTCTTTAGTAATTTTTAAAATACGCTGCCAGCCAAACACCATATTGCCAAGCAAACCACTCGGAAAACGAGAGCCTTTAGCCCGCAGCCAGGCAGCCAGGCAGCCAGGCAGCTAGGCAGCTAGGCAGCCAGGCAGCCAGGCCACACCTGGGGCCTCAGCACAAAGGGACAAATGACACCGTATCCAGGGAGAGATACCCTGGATTTGTTAACCACCAAGTTTTGTAATTACATTGTAGATGTCTAGCACAGTGGACTACTAGACATCCACAAGGTATAGACAATGTTCCAATGTAAAGACTAGCTTTGCAGGTGATAAACGGGTAATGGTTGTATCAGTAACCATGTAGTGATCGTTAATCTTAAAAGTTACCGTTATCAATAAGGGCACAAATGGCGTTTTAAAGAGCACAAAACGTAGTTGGTTTAAAATTTAAAACTTTAAATAAACATACATTAACTTCGACTGGAACGGGAGACCAATGGTCTCGAGCTTCAGCTTCTCCTGCTGCTGCAGCTTTTTGAGTGTCTCCTATTCTCACTTTTCTTCTTGATCTATCGGCCATTCTTACCTGATTTACATAATAAAGTGGTTCAGCTATTTTTTTCTGTCAGAAATACAGCTACACTTGACAACACTGCGTGAACCCGGATTGATATCAAACAAAAATAGCAAAAGAACATTAGGTGTTTGTTCGGGCGAGTTATTTTAATTGTAATGTGGTTGCTATGCTTAATACTGGTCATGGCAACCGCCATCTCAGATTCCACCATTAATACTTCCTACTTAAAATAAGTTTAACAGGAATTAATTATCTCTTTATCATTTCGAGATGAAACCTGAGTAAACTCGGTAAATACGGGAGGAGTTTCAAAAATTAATTAAAGAATAATATTATTATTCTTACCGAGGGAATGTCTTCATTGAAGTCGAGAACTTTGTTAATTTTTACTGCAGTCGCGGTGTTGACCAAATTTGAGTTGATCAATGTATTCTGAGCCGTCAGAACACAGTTCTCCTTTTCTAAACGGAATAATTGTTAAGATTTCTAGACTCAGTAACAAGTTTCAAATTAAAAACTATTAGAAAATTTACAACGGCAGCTCAGATCGATAGTCATCATTTAGATTCAAATAGAATAAGAACGAAAGAGCGCCATGTGTGATTTAAATCGATAGCAATTTGCCAACAAATACATTATACTGTGCCAACACCAAACTAACGTTAGCAACACATTGAAACAAAGAGAAAACCACCACGCACAACACAAATACACAATATAAATTGGACGAAACCCCCTTCCAAACAGGGTAGCACGACGTGTCCCAGGGTCAGAGTTTTAGAATAGCTGGATAATCTCATTACGTTCTCGAAGAGGCAACTATCATGTTTCGTGTCCGTTATGGTAACGACTGGAGAAGGGCCGGGGATTGGGACAGAGTGAGGGAGCATCGCCGGACGTCCTGGACACTAATTCTACATTATAGAGTAATATGTGGTGGAAGGAAACTTAGTTGGGAAGGAGGGAAATTTAGTTGGGAAGGACAGAATGGCGGATTTTTGAAAAGGCGTGGGATTTGATGTATTAAATTTTACTTTGTGACATGTCAGCTAAGCTGCGTGGAAGTTTTAACTGGATTCTAAGCAAAGACAGACGAATTATTTGCTCGATCTTGGTAAACTATGGGTTAATATATTAATATATTGTAATATATTATAATAACCATTAGACAAATTAAACAATCCCCGCATTATGATTAATGAGGACAGGAAAGACATATTGACAATCTCTTGGGAAAACTGTCAGTAAAGCTACAAGCAGATAGTGATCTAGACATGCACTGATCTGGCTGTCTACAATCTTTACTCTCTCCGTGGACATTGTAACGGCATAACAGCTACTGAAATGAGGCTTTCTCCTGGGATTTCAGTGTCAAATCAGTCTAACAAGGCACTTTCACTGTATGTTGCTACTTGCCACTAACATTAAAGGAAGGTCATTTCCAAGCCAAAACAGACGAGTAATTCACCGAAAATTCGAAAGTTACAAATCACTGAAAAGGGTGTGTACAGGATTAAAAGCACACGTGTGACGGTACGTGTGACAGCAGTAAACGTAAAGAGAGAGAGAGAGCAGTGAGAGCGAGTGATGAGCTAAATCCTAAGGAACTGATCTCCTGATGTATTAGCCATCTTGACCTTAGATGAAGCTAAAACGTGGGCGTATAGGAGGGTATAGGGAGGGTATAGGGAGAACCAAGCCATTATGCTAATCCTAGAATAGGTGGACCATCTATCACACTGTACACGCTCTCTACTACTGATTTAAATACAGGCTCCACGTGCCAAGCAGTACAATAACGTGATACAGAGTCAATACACTCAAGTAACAAGCGTGTGGAATTTAGAGATTAGTTATTTAAATGGAATTGTAATTAGAGCTGTCAGCTGACTGATTTTAGACCGTGTTTGACGGAATATCATGAGGAATTAAGTCGTTGGTTTTTCTTTTTCAGGCGGTTTTCAGGAGCGAACATGTAATCAGGAACATGTGATAAGGAGTATGACAGTGGTTAATGAGGGTTAGGGTTTCAAGAGACAGTGCCAGAACAGAAAAATGTAAACAATTTGGGCTCGCTGATTACAAATGATTCTATTCGGTATTATCATGAACGGTAATCATACTGTAAGTTGACACTGTAGTCGGTACTCACTGTTCAGCCGACTTTCAGTGTCGACCTACAGTGAGGATCCTGAATAGCGCTTTATAACTGGACGTATGTTGACAAGTAAGCACTAAGCTCATGAAAACCGATTATCCTCGTCGCGTTTTTTCAAACACAGTGAATTGAACGTTTCTAAGTATCAGTGTTATAATGTAATTAGTTACACTAAATTGAGCTTCTCAATGTACTCAATTATCACAGCGACAGAATCGTTATAAATAAATATTTCTATCTTCAGAACAAAGCAGCTGAGATTTACCCTGGTTTAACAGCTGTCTGATCCGTGTCAGGTCGAGTGTACTAGTTTCAGGAGGCAGTGTCTCCACAGTTACTACTCCTAACTTCTGAGTGTCATTCAGGGCTGTAGGAGGAGATGAGCTCTCATCAACCATGGTGCGGGCGAGGGTAATCGGGCTGAAACAGATCGTGTTTACTGAACAAGTCGGGGTGAAAGCTACCTTAAGGGAGGCTTACAAGTTACAGTCGACCAGTCAGAAGAAGAAGTGAAGAAGTGAAGAGCTGCTATATAGTGCTTCTTAGTAACACTAAAAACAAAGAAATAAGACAAAACTGTATCAGAATGAATGAAATTACAAGATTCCTTCCAGTAATCCTCTTTGTGGTCATTCCTTATTTCCAGCCAGGAGGCAGGGTACCAAAAAAAGCGCGCAAGGGGCAGTATAAATGGAGCGCGCGGCTGATATTAATACAAAAACTTTGCTTCGGATAGCAAGGGGGACTAGCTCAAATGGTAGAGCGCTCGCTTAGCATGTGAGAGGTACCGGGATCAATGCCCGGGTTCTCCAGAACTTCTTTTTTTTCGCACATTTATTAAATATCTATGATATTATGTCTACCTTTCATTATTAAGATAATATATCAGTGTTGACAGTTACAAACCAGCTAAATTTTGAACGGTTATTGTACAGTAATCAGTATACATATGATTCATACACGATATTTATAGGAATTACTCCTGTAGTACCCACCCACTAGTGGTCTAGTGCGTCTTATTAAGATATTAGAGACATGATATTATGTCTTGTAACATGTATTATGTCCTGGAGCGGTGAGTTTAAAAAGCGGATTTTAAAATATGCGAAATTTAACATAATTCAAATGAAGGTGTTCGTAACTAATAAGACGGTAGCCCCCCAGTAAATATAAGAGAAGAAGGTATTGGGAGGATAAGGTTATAAGTCGAATAACCTTTTAAATAAACGTTCTGTAAGGACAGTTTTGCTACCTTAAACTTTATTCTGTTCCAATGATCACTTAATGTCATTTGACACCAAAATGAACAATCTACAATCTACATACATGACGTACATGAAAAGCAAGTTGCAATTAAAGAATACTTCTTGCTTCAGATTGAAGTGCAGCAAGGGGGACTAGCTCAAATGGTAGAGCGCTCGCTTAGCATGTGAGAGGTACCGGGATCAATGCCCGGGTTCTCCAGAACTTCTTTTTTTTCGACACATTCATTGATTATCTATGATATGTCTACCTTTCATTATTAAGATAATCAGTGTTGACAGTTACAAGTACGGCTAAATTATGTACGGTTGGTGAACTATATTTTCGCTATACACAAAACGTGCTGTTTCCCTTAGTGAGAAGTGGTAAACTTAACAGAGCTTAAATAATACGATTAACATAAAATTAGTAAATGATAGTAACAAAAAACACGTAAAAAGTAGTTCGTTGTTTAGTTATATATTGACTGCGGGTTAATTAGTTACCAAGACCTTCATTTAAATTTTTAAATGTTTGCTTATGATAACCACTCCTGCCATACACAGAAAGGTATTGAAATATCAAGGTTTTATGTCGGATAATCGGACATTTGTTCTTTAAGGACAATCCTGCTATCTTAAACTTTATTCTATTCCAGTGATCACTTAATGTCATTTAACACCAAAATGCACAATCTACATACATGATGTACATACAATTATGAAAATCAAGTTATATTACATTACAAGTTTTAATCAATACAAATAATACAAATAATGCGTCTTGCTTCACATTGAAGTACAGCAAGGGGGACTAGCTCAAATGGTAGAGCGCTCGCTTAGCATGTGAGAGGTACCGGGATCAATGCCCGGGTTCTCCAGAACTTCTTTTTTTCGACACATTTATTGATTATCTATGATATTATGTCTACCTTTCATTATTAAGATAATCAGTGTTGACAGTTACAAGTATGACTCAATTATGTACAGTTGGTGAACTATATTTTGCTATACACACAAAGTGCTGTTTCCTTTAGTGAGGAGTGGTAAACTTAACAGAGCTTAAATAATACGATTAACATAAAATTAGTATTTAACGAGAGGAACAAAAAACACGTAAAAAGTAGTTCGTTGTTTAATTATATATTGACTCCGGCGTTAACGGTTAATTAGTTACGAAGACCTTCATTTAAATTTTTAAATGTTTGCTTATGATAATCACTCCTGCCATGCCATACACAGAAAGGTATTGAAATATTAAGGTTTTATGTCGGATAATAATTTGGATAAGCGGACATTTGTTCTTTAATGACAGTCCTGCTATCTTAAACTTTATTCTGTTACAGTGATCACTTTCAATAACCCTGTCTAGTCATTGACTACTGATTAATGTCATTTAACACCTAAATGCACAATCTACATAAAATCATGAAAATCAAGTTATATTACATTATAAGTTTTAATCGATACAAAGAATAGAAATAATGCGTCTTGACTCTTGCTTCACATTGAAGTACTGCAAGGGGGACTAGCTCAAATGGTAGAGCGCTCGCTTAGCATGTGAGAGGTACCGGGATCAATGCCCGGGTTCTCCAGAACTTCTTTTTTTTTCGCACATTTATTGATTATCTATGATATTATGTCTACCTTTCATTATTAAGATAATTAGCGTTGACAGTTAAAAGTACGGCTAAATTTTGAACGGTTGATGTACAATATGTCAGTATACATATTATGATTCATACACGACATTTATAGGAATTTCTCCTGAGGTACCCACCCACTAGTGGTCTAGTGCGTCTTATTAAGATATTAGAGACATGATATTATGTCTTGTAACATGTATTATGTCCTAAAGCGGTGAGTTTAAAAAGCGGATTTTAAAATATGCGAAATTTAAGATAATTCAAATGAAGGTGCTCGTAACTAATAAGACGGTAACCCCGCTGTAAATATAAGAGAAGGTATTGGGATGTTAAGGTTATAAGTCGAATAACCTTTGAAATAAACGTTCTGTAAGGACAGTCCTGCTATCTTAAACTTTATGTTCCAATGATCACTTAATGTCATTTGACACCAAAATGCACAATCTACATACATGGTGTACGCAGTACATGAAAAGCAAGTTTTAATTAAAGAATACTTCTTGCTTCAGATTCAAGTGCAGCAAGGGGGACTAGCTCAAATGGTAGAGCGCTCGCTTAGCATGTGAGAGGTACCGGCCACCGGGATCAATGCCCGGGTTCTCCAGAACTTCTTTTTTCGACATAAATTCTTGTCATGGACATAAAAGTTTAAAATTCGTCACTACAAACCTCAAAATGAAATACCGTTTCCTGAATTTAAAATTATTTCGAATACTTTAAATGCAAAAACAAACCAAAACCAGACCAGAAACCATTGACGTATGTCAAACACAAGAAAATGTTCAAAACGGTGTTACTAATCCGGTGGAATGTTTCCGCCGGATAGATTCAAGATCTTTTGGGGGTACCCTTCCTTAAAAGTAGTTTTTAGATGGTTGGAGAATCGGTTCTATATGAACGATTCTGCAACCCATGAGTAAACCCGTAAAAATAATGTCCTCGATAAATGAGAGGCATTCTTTTACACTAAGGAGGGGGGGGGGGGGGCGGGGGGAGAGAGAGAGAAACCAATACTTACACTACACCACCAAATTAAAAAGATATTCGTAAGAATGACCAAACATGAAATTAAGCGCTAGATGATAGATTTACTGACCTGTGATTGAACCTTGGTGCACTAGTAACATTTGGTATAACTCTATACTTATAGCCGTGGTCCCCGAACATATCCTTCGCTTCTGCCATCTTACGATCAGTTTCATTTAGCAGTTCTTGTAACTGAAACAGAAAATTGTTTTAATTCGAACTTAATTAAATAAAGAGATTCTTCATACATATATCAATAATTCAATATCTGTGTCGCTATTTCATCTTTTTGTATTTGAATCTTTTTATTGTCTACTGTATCTTCAAATGTTCAAATGTTCAAATGAAGTCTCCAGACGTAGCAATTAAAAAGCTTTTGATATTCAGGAAACCTTAGATTTAGTGTCCGTGGCCTCCTGGACAACTATAGATCTGTTGTGGGCCACAAAGGGGCTGGAATGTATTGCACTCTGGAGTGATTTCTCTTTTCCTGGAAGAAAAAGTTGTTTTACGTGTTTTAGTTGTAGTATGTTGTGTACGCTTTTTTGAGCTTTCTACACTAAAGTCACCTCGCCACTATACTTGCCCACGCCTATATTTTATCAAAATCGTTCGAGAAAAGGGTAAATGTCTCACGTTGCATAGCTTTGATTTCATTCCTGATTTTCTCCATGTGTTTTGCAGAGTACAACTTCGTTCGTTTCTCTACTTCACTTTTACTCAGTTTCATTGACTCAACATCGTTTATACTGCCCTGAAATTATTATTATTTAAATCTAAGGTTGAGTCTAGATTCTATACGTACAAAAACAAGTGTTTAGTGTGTTGGCCTGACATATTATGAACTGATCACTGATCATTATACAACACAAATATACTTAACGTGATCGCTACTCAAATGTAGCTTAGGTCTTTTGGTAATAAATCTCACCTTTTAGTAACAAATATCATTGTCACTGAAGTAACTGACAAACTGTTGCAGAGCTAAAAAATACCAACTTAAAATACTTAAATTACTTTAAATTACTTTAGATACTAACGTTCCACTGAGGTCGGGGTTTTCGTTTTATAACTTTCTTGTTCTGACATCTCATAACGAGGGGCTCTCTGACGTGAACCATTCTTGGTTGTTCAAAGATTAGTTGTACATTTTTAATTGGTGAAAAAAATCGATAGAGATAAGCAACAACCTAAAAGAGCTGCAACTTACAATTATCAAACAAAATCTTTTTTAGGATTGCTCTTGCAGTCTTGCCGTTTTCATATTAAATTGATCTACAATTAGAGGTTTATTTTTGTGAGATTTTGGCAAATTGTTAGCTGTGAGATCTGAAGTTTCTCACTAATAAAACGAGTGAGGTTTAAATTCCAAGTACAATCCTTTCATGATTTTAGTAGCACGATGATATTTATCAAAATTAACAGTTCAACAAAGTGAAATAATATTCAAACAACTCGAAGTCATTAAACAAACTTGCTGATCTGCTCAATAAAAGCTACAGTTCGGAAATAAATTACTTAATAAATTAAAAACTAAGATTTTGGGCATCCTATTTCAGAAGGTATACGATACAATCGCCTCATCATGCAGACTAGTTCACAGTGAACAAAGTCCAATGTTTTCTGAGTAGAGTATTCATCATATTCAGACCGAGCTAGAGTTATAGCAACAGGGGAACTTTTTAAAAGCTTAAGTGAAGTTTCCGTTTTACAGAGCAAAGTTCTTATTTCAGATTTCTTTGAGAGGTGGTGAGGTAGCTCAGTTTGTTGACCAATGTAAAATAGATCAGTAATGAATTCGTCATCCTTTGCAAGCAATTTCGCTTGTTTGATACACTCTGCCCAATCTGGATACTTATGTTTAAGACTAGACATAAATTCCTCTTGTTCATCAGATAACGGAAGATTATTTTCAACTTCATTTGACCTACAGAGCTTTTCTAAGCTATCCAACTGAGCTTTCCTGTATGTCAAACTTCTTTGGAAATCACCAAGATCCTTAAATTTGAAGATGCTGTCAATGAAATTAAAATATGGACCAAGAAGGTCCAAAAAAGGATTTTGAGTAGAGTAGAAATCCATGTCAAAATCTAAGCACCATTGTCGATTGTGAAGAATTTTAGCTAACAGCTCGTACTCTTTCGATGTCTCCTTATCCAAATGTGACAGTTCGATCACATGCAGAGTAAACGTCCTGAAGATTTGGGTTTAGCTATCACAGCTTTCTGCAAGACCACCTTATTGATCTACAATTTAATTATAAAAGTAAATTAATAACATCGTATTGAAAAGCTTTTAACTTCTAAATTGTGCTGTATCAGCCACGATTACCAATGATGGATGGAAAATGGTGAACAGAAAATGTATAAAATGTGTTAGAAATAAATATACCTTGTATGGTGGAGATTTTCAACATAATTCATGTCTGACAGATAGTAAGGTAATATAGAAGACGTTCTCAATAAACCATTATCATCCACACCCAGCTCTATTTCATGTTCTCCAACATGGATCTGAGTAGACCAGGGTGGTTTTATCCATACCACTGTGGTGAAGTGTCCCTGGTAGACAGCGGGTAGAATCCAGTCTGCTATTGTCAAGTTGTCAAGGAGTTCTTTTCGATCAGTAAACTGTGGATCATGTGATTATTAAGAAATCAATTAAAAATATGTGAATGTCCGAAATAAATAAATTATGTTTTCTAATATGCAATATGAACGATGAGGCATTTATAAAGTATTTATAAGGAAGTATTTATAAAGCAATGGTCTAAAACATGATAAAAACTCAATATGTATCTACCTGGTCAACGGGGATAGATTCAGGTGCAGCCAAATCTGGATGACTGTCAAAATGTACCAGACATAGATCATCAAACGGTATCTTTTTTCTGGCTATTAGCTTGTAGTAGAAATTGAGTGCATCATTATGATCATCAACAACACCTACACTGATACATTTTGACATGACCAATATACCATTCCTGAAGTAATATATTATTATGTAAGTAAAATACAATTTTTTTTACATTGAAGCGTAGAATAATTCCTTTCCTTATGAGAGGCTTTTCCTTGTCGCAACAAAAAATTTCAATACAAATTTGGCCAATACAAATAACGGCCAGATAGCTCAGTTGGTTAGAGCGCAGTTCTTAGAACGCCAGCAATCGTGAGGTTGCAAGTTCAATACCCGCTGTCTACCTAGTCGTGGGGTGAGCGTCGTCGACGTTCTGCTAAGGATCCCATAGGATTTATGCAGCCTCCCGGTCCACCCAGCCGAATGCTCGAGAAATCGTGTGTGAGGGTTAAATGGGGAGCTGTGCAATATAGTACAGCGAAAACGCAAAAACTCCATGGATGTTTACCGTAATGGGTGCCACATGCCTAGCAAATCAAATCATAAATCAAATCAAAATATAATGACACAAACATCATCACACATCATCAAAAATATATCTACTAAAGTTTTTAAAAATATCTTAAATCTATTGGCCTAAACAACCAAGATAAAATGAATCTAATTTACATACTTTCCACTACTATATAAGTTAATAAAGCGTTTCTTAGCAACATGAGGATTACACACAAGATATTCATTGTGCTTCTCTTTATTAGTAGCATAATTTAATCCCTCAATCTTCCCTAATACTTCGTCCGAAACATACCAAAAATGAATATCATTTACGGATCCGTTTAAAATAGTCTCTTTTTTGAAAGCTTCTAATCTTATTTTAAAACTTAACACAGTCCCACAATTCTTGACATCCGAGGGGAGTTTGTTCCAATAAGGTCTCACCCTCTCCGGAAGAAAAGAACTGTGGACTTTCTTCATTTTACTGCTACTTTTACTGCATCTACTGTTTGATACCACATTAAAACCAGATCTGCTCATACTGAACAAACCAGCTCCGTAATTGGCCAAACCACTTATCATTTTAAAAGATTCAATGAGGTCCCCACGTATTCGCCGCTCTGCCAGCGTTGTTAAATTGAGGATTTCCAGTCGACGACTGTATGGAAGAGTACCCACCTCGTCAATCAGACGGGTAAACCGCCTCTGGACGCTCTCCAGCTCCAAGATGATCCCCCAACTTCCATGAGCCGCAACTGGACTCCACAATTGAACACAATACTCTAAATGGGGTCTTATCAAAGCTTTGTAAATGGATATCATCACAGATTTTTCCCTGATAATCAAATTTCTAACAATCCAACATATCATTCTGTTGGCTTTAGATATTGAAGCCTTAATCTGTTCATTCCAAAGCAGAGAGTTATGGGTTATAACTCCCAAGTCTTTTTCCTGTACAGATTCTGCCAATGTAACTCCATTAAGAGAATAACTTGATCTTGGGTTATCGTTAACATCTAAATGCATTACTGAACACTTAGTAGTGTTACCTACTTACTTGCACTTGTGTAGGTTTGTAGAAGCATTAGAATCGGGCGTTGCCTGCCACAGGCTATCCCGAATTTAGAAGCTTGCTTTCATCATTTGGCCCCAGAAACATAAAGTAATATAGGTATTCAACATAACAGCTTTAAAGGATTTGAAATTATTGCTCTACTTAAGTATTAAGATTTTTTAACAGCTAATAATAACAGATCTTGATACTGATTGGGATCGGAGGTGTACCGCATTTGTTTTTTGCATGTTGGTAGTGATTCTGGGCTTTGATTGGTCAATACAAGGAGCTGATTGCTTATTCGTACGCCCAGCCCCCAAATCTACAGTAAGCATGCACTGCACAGATGAGGAAACATGACACATTCGTGATGATGATATATCACTGTATAAACTCAACACAATACAGCAGGCTAAACTACAAAAAGGATCAAAAAATGTCTTATGGGGTTAGACCTTTGCATTAACATCTAATAACAGAAAGATCAGTTGAAAAGGTCAAGACCTTGCTCCCAATTTCAGATGCTTCATCAAGTAATGGCAATGTGATATGTGCTGCTAACTGGAAGCCTTAAACAGGAAGATTTTAAACCTATAGGTGGAGCCCAGTGAAGCACAGAAAAATGTGAAACAAATTTTAGTGAAACAAATTTAAAATTTAATCCTTTATTTTACAATCATAATATAATAATATTTATGAGCCTCTGTTTTGAAAGTTTTAAATTTCAATATATCCGCATTTCTATTTAGTTCAATTTTATGTATAAGTCAATAACTGCCCGTCAAAGCCGCGCATTCATGAAAACAGGATTAACTTGTTTATAGTCATACAACAAATTAAATTTAAAACTATCCGTGGTTTTTAAAATAAATTATAATCTTACCTAAATCCAAAGCCTACTTTATAAAAGTTACTTTTAGATCATAATATATCGTCAATTCTAAATATTTACAATGCAACATTTCATTAATCTATAAATATGAAATAATAAATAAGCGTACTCCAGCCCCTACAGCTACACGCATCGCAATTCTTATGCGGCGCGGCTCAAGTTAGGCACGCACATATTATTTTATACTTTTTGCTTTCTAATAAATATCGCGTCAATGTGTACGTCTAAATGTTCATGTTTTGTGTAAACTGAATCCAATTGAGACTAGTGACAAGGATAAGGACCCAAGTGCCTGTACGGCTTTTTCGGACCCCTGTGGACCACTACTCTTGAAATCCGCGCTCACTAAATCGCTCGCCCAAACTTTTTTCATTCAACTGCTAACGCGCATTTTCGCATTGGATAAATTGCAAAATTGGTTTGACTATCAGGAGTGCTCGTTCTATATCCTTATATATATACGTCTTTACACTTAGCTTCTCGGAGGAAGAAAGCAGCAGTCTCTCTTATGGCATTGTGGCGCATGGAAACGTATCCACCTAGTTTGCAGTCAAGGGCGTGGTAGATACTGTTTACATTTCCACGGGCACATTTAGAGGGCACTCCTTGGATCTTCCTTACAGCCCAATTGTATTTCAATTTTATTACACCTTATTACACCTTATATTCAGTTATTCTATACTTTATATTTGACTATACACTTTACTCGATTAAATTCTGTGATACATGATCACAGGTATGTTAATTTCGACTTCGAGTGATTCAAACTTAAAGTTCATCGCCAATGGCCAATTTGTGCTTTCGTTAACAATTTCAGATTTACTGCCGTGTTTTTGTTGGGTTGACCGTTTTGTGGAAATCTACCGGATCAGGATGACTCAAGCCATTCGTGTCCTACTAAAGCTTCATCAAAAACAAGGTACATATATGTACACCTTCATTATTCAACTCCGGCATCTATCAATCACGATTTTTCACTATCAGTGTTTCATTCATCTTTAAGCAGTGTCACTTCGTTATAAGCAGCTTTATATCTGGTTTCGATTTTTAGTTACATTTTTGAGGTTTGAAGTGTCGTTTTTTTCATGAATTTGCTGGTTTGTAAAATTGTGCCATTCACAGTTTAAGTCTACATCATTACCTTGGCGGCTTACTTAGTAATATCGATTGACAGCAATTTAATCATGGAAATGTTAGGTGAAAACTCAAATTATTTGTTGTTACTCTTTATATATTATGGTAGTTCTTGTTCTCAGTCATTTTATGCAATTTATTTAAGCTGACTATCAAAACTTCCCCAACTTGTTTAAACATAATATCATTTGAAATCATAATTGGAAAATCTATACATATACGTATAGTATATGGACACGTTCATTTGAGTTTGAGGATATTGGTAAACAAAAATAATAGCGTTTTTGACGATAGTGGCTTAATTTTGACATCTATTAACCTAGCACGTTCAGAAGTTCTGAACATTAGCTACGTAACCCATACTTCCATATGCACTGCTCAGAAAGAAAATCTATTGTTGTTAGGCACTATAATGTTTCAAATGTCACATTTTGTGTGACTTAGTTAACTGCAGTTGTCTAATTATCATTCCTTGGTCTGAAATATAGTAGATTAGGTCAATCTAACAATTATGATACAACATTGGTTAAAGGGCACGGATCGAACGGTTACAAGGCAATATTTGGGTAACTTTGTCACACTCAGAATACCATACCTCTATTCTACTGTGAGTTGTCCTCAAAACCCTTTTAACTCATTATTTGATGGTTGATCTACCAATCATAGTCCTAAAATATGTTGTTTTGAGTAGTTAGCTAATACAGGCACTTGGTTATTGGGAAATGAGGTTAATTCTGTCACAATATATGGAATTTTAAATTTGTGGCGAATTATTTATATCTGATTTTGGTTTGAAGGCGGGAAAACTTTATATGATGACAATATAGTTGATGCAAGTTAAGATCAGTTGATGTTTACATTCAACATTGTCACAAAAAATGATACGAAATCGTAAATAGGTTAAAAACAATGATTATAGAATGAAATAGTCTCTTATAATAACTCTTATAATAACTGATGTGACAAAGTAAACATGTCTTGCCCCTATTTTGAAGATCTATATAATATTCTATAACTCCTATCTATTAGAATTCAACATTCTTTCAGAAAAAATTGGTAGAATATAGTCCAGAACATCAGAGCTCAAGTTTAACAATTTTAGGTTAAATTTGTCAAAGTCACTAAAAATGTGATAAAATTAACTTTTCCTGCCACAACAATTTCAAGATAGTGTGTTAAAATTGGCATAGGATGCTTTATTGCCTATATTAATCGATCCAAACTACGAAAGAATATAAATGTTAATGTGATGACGATTACCTAACTCTAATAATAACTGATGTGACAAAGTAAAGATGTCTTGCCCCTATTTTGAAGATCTATAACTCTATTAGAATTCAACATTCTTTCAGAAACGATTGGTAGAATATTGTCCAGAACATCAGAGCTCAAGTTTAACAATTTTAGATTAATTTGTCAAAGACACTGAAAATGTGACAAAATTAACTTTCCCTCCCCCAACAGTATCAAGATAGTGTGTTAAAATTGGCAAAGGATGCTTTATTGCCTATATTAATCGATCCAAACTACGAAAAAGATCTGTTGACCTGGAAAATCGTCAAAAAAAGAGGTCCAAGATTTTCAAAATCGAATAAAAAATTTAAAGGCCTCGAAATTCTAAAAAGAGTGAAATCTTCTAAATGGTCCTTAGAACATATCCTGAAAGTTTCAAGGTGATTGCTCAAAAAATGTAGGAAAAGATAGATCTTTAGATTCGATTTTCAGGGCGCGCGATTGAAAATCGCTTGCGCAATACAATTACACATGAGCGCTGACCTTTGACCGGTAATAATTTCGTCTAGGAACAATATTTTTCCATGGGACCAAAAGTAGCAGATAGATATCACTCCCCTCTATTAGAAACAACTATAAAATCAATTTCGAGAGAAATTTCATAAATATCTGATGACGATTACCTAACTCTTATAATAACTGATGTGACAAAGTAAACATGTCTTGCCCCTATTTTGAAGAATTATACCTCTATTAGAATACTATGTTACTTTATCATCAAAATAATTTCGATTAACTAGTTATTTTGCCAGCAAGGAGCTAACAGAGTTATAATAATTTTTTTGTCACGAAATTACCCTATTTTTGACCATGTTGCGGTAGTTTAATTGTAACACAGTTAACATATTACCACCCGATAATGATTTATGTGACTGGTGCATGGTACTAGCAGTATTGTTTGATCCATAGTACGTATTATAAGGGCTTTAAGCTAGTATATCATTATTTTTTCAAATTCACACATGTTCAGATATCATCAAGATTATGTGACAAAGTAAACTTGTTTGTGCCTTCTGTGTTTTAATTCCTCACGACTATATGATATAATAACAATTCCTAGCACTTCCAGGCCATCAAATAAACCTACATTACTCAGTATTGCTTATCAGGGTGCCCTAAATATTCTTCACATATTTTCTTAAATGTGTGACAGAGTAAACCTGAGTGCACCATCTAACGAAAAATTCGTCAAATATGTAGGTAATGGTCATATGTACCCATCCAATCAACTGGACACTCAAAAATTTGGTCAAAAACGGCAGCAAGGGGTCCATATTTACTCCGTCACATGTTTATAGTGTGACAATGTAAACATTTCCGTGCCGGCCGTATTTAAACAATATCTTATCACCTGATTAAGATATCGTTATGTGACAAAGTTAGCCAAGAGGATGAGACGATTATCCTAACCATCGCATCAAGGGTTTGTGTAATTTCATAGTGTGACAAAGTCAACTATACTGTGCCTTTTAATAGGGTCACTTATATTTACCAATATCCTCAAACTCAAATGAACGTGTCCATATAGATTACTAGTTAGCTCTTACTCTTAGCGCTTACTAGTTTAGCTCTATCTGGTCCCCTGCTACACGGCATGTAAACAGGGATTGGCCAGTTAGAGGCGGTCCGTGTAGGCCATATACACTGTGCTATCAGCTATACCTATAATTATATATAGTTCTTTTATTCAAATTTCTGATTGTTTCTGAATAGACTCAGTGAAGACAAATTCTAATGGAAAAAATAGCTGAATAACGTATCGACATTTCTACGTCATACTCACATTCTCAATAAATGTATTTAATTGTAGTTGTGAAAATAGTTTAAAACTATCAGAAATTTGAATAAAAGAACTATAAAATCATGAGACTCAATAACACTACACGAATCCACCAGATTATATATAATATATAATAATATATAATAAATAGTTGTTGCTTGGTTTCCCAAAGAGAGTGCTCCTTAAAATACTCAAACTCAGATGCCCAACATAACTGAACCAGCAATATGAGTTATCATGTAGAAAGAAAACCAATCTCACTGTTCAATTCCCATTAAAAGATTTTATATTTAGATCTTCTAAAATCTGGAGCACGTCATAGCGCCAAAACTCAAGCTTCTTGACTACTCCTATAAAACATTTGATAACTCGCATCTATTACAAATAATACACTACGAACAATGTATACACTTTTATATATTTAAAATCCTCGTCCAAACTTGTTGTCTTCAATATCTGACTTGAAATTAGTGTAATGCTTCTTGACGACAAGAATATGCTGATTACAGTGATCCTCTGCACTATATAAATTTGTGCATACATCCATGTGCATACTTGTTTTAAAAATATGAATTTGATAATATACATCACATAATATCATTAAGGGGGTATATCATCAAGGTTTAATAATTTTTCGTTCATACTTCATGTTAACACTCCTATTATGGTTGGAATTGATTAATACAAGAAATAGAGCAGCTTATACCAATTCTTCGCATTAAATTTATATTGTTGGGGCACAAAATGTTTTTTATTCTATCACATTTTCAGTGACTTAGCGAAATTTAAATTAACATTTTTAAGTTAAACTTAAGCTCTGATGTGCTGGACAATAATCTACCAATCATCACCAAACATTATCATATCCAGAAAAAAACACAGTCACGCCTTGATCGATCTTATTAATATTTTGACAAGAACCATCAATAGAGCAGGCACTATCCGTCGCGGAGTAGAGTCCGCGGCGGAGCCGCCGGACTCCGAGCGGACTCCGGCGGTGCTCCGCCAAAATGTATTTACACTGGACTCGAGTACATTTTGGCGAGCGGACTCCGAGCGGACTCTAAAGTCCGCCGCGGACTCCGAGCGGCTCCGCGGCGGCTCGGCGGAATGTCCGCTGCGGACTAAGCCACTAGGCGGACTCCGGTCCGCCGCGGACTCCGGCGGAGTGCTTGGCGGACTCCGGCGGACTCCAACAGAGTCCACTGACTTCCGACCTCCGACTTCCGACCCTCGGCTAAATTTGTCACGTGACATACAACATAGCATTTTGCAATATTGTGGTCAGATGAAAAGGTCGCTAGTGATAAACCTTAACCATTACCCTCACAATGTCAATAGTGTACAACTCTAGTCCTAACTTTGACCCTATAATGTATAAACGTTGACCCTAACCCTCCACCAAACCGTCCGCAGCGAAATATCAATGTCATTGACTGGTCACGTGACCAAAACAATTTTTGTCATATTATCTCATATAGGGAAGCGTTTTTAGTTTTACCCTACACGTTGCATGTGGCGTCATTCGGCCGGATCCCAGCAAGCAAAAATACGTCGACCATCACAGGACGACGCCAGCCAGCACTCTCTACGCTCTTCGAGCTCCGATCGTCCTGTGACGAAGTAAGGACGAAGCCTGAGGTCCTCAGGTAACATCGACCACCGATTGAAAATTCAAAGATTTTTTTGACATAAAGGTCAAATGTAAAACTAAAATCTTGATGTTGATTGATTGACGACGTCAATTTTTGAGCACAGCGCGAGCGCATGCGGAAAAGGACCGCGTAGCTAGTCAAGATGTTGATAAATATTTGGCTTGTGGCGCGATGTGTTGCTCTAAGTATAGCCCTCTCGCTTGCAGTAGCGTACGACCGCCGGAAATGACTTGTGGAACAAGCGCGCCCGCAGCGGCGCGAAAGCACCTGGTTAGCTAGATGAACGCGATGTGCCTTGTAGGATGAAATCCTACTAGCTGACGCCACTCGCTGTACGTCAGCGATCGAAATTTATACGCGTATCACCCGTTAAGATGTGCCACCCGACGCGCCACGCAATTTTTCTCGTTGCTCGTCGCACATCGACGAACAACGAAGCTCGTTGCGACGCGCAATGAGCTGCCAGGCTAGGACATCGTCCTGGTCCAACAAATTTTGGCGAGCGCGAGCGATTTTCTCCAAAAATTTAATGAGGGCGCCGACTTCCACTCTGGCTAGGTTTCTTCTTATAGGGGGTGCACGATAAAAATAAAGTTGCTTGGATTTTAAAAAATTGTGTACCACTGTTTTCTAGAGACTGTGAGAATTTTCACAATACCAAATTTGTTATACCTTTTTGGAAAGATCAGTGAGTTTCGCCTAGGTGCCATATTTGATGGTGCGCGGCTTTTGGAGCAAAAGTAGCTGTAAAAGTCGCGTAATTTGACCGAATTCGTCCAAATTTGACCATTTTTGTCGTATTATTCGGATTTATCTTCAGTTCCTTAAATGAGATCATTCTGGAAATTGGCGACGACCTTCCAATTGGGCTTTCACAACTGTCCGAAAAATTTGGTGGATATCGGAGTTGATATAGTAATAAAAATGAGACAAAATACGCTGCTTTTAAATTTTTGGAGAAAATCGCTCGCGCTCGCCAAAATTTGTTGGACCAGGACGATGTCCTAGCCTGGCAGCTCATTGCACGTCGCAACGAGCTTCGTTGTTCGTCGATGTGCGACGAGCAACGAGAAAAATTGCGTGGCGCGTCGGGTGGCACATCTTAACGGGTGATACGCGTATAAATTTCGATCGCTGACGTACAGCGAACATCACAGCTGCGAGTGGCGTCAGCTAGTATAGGATTTCATCCTACAGGGCACATCGCGTTCATCTAGCTAACCAGGTGCTTTCGCGCCGCTGCGGGCGCGCTTGTTCCACAAGTCATTTCCGGCGGTCGTACGCTACTGCAAGCGAGAGGGCTATACTTAGAGCAACACATCGCGCCACAAGCCAAATATTTATCAACATCTTGACTAGCTACGCGGTCCTTTTCCGCATGCGCTCGCGCTGTGCTCAAAAATTGACGTCGTCAATCAATCAACATCAAGATTTTAGTTTTACATTTGACCTTTATGTCAAAAAATCTTTGAATTTTCAATCGGTGGTCGATGTTACCTGAGGACCTCAGGCTTCGTCCTTACTTCGTCACAGGACGATCGGAGCTCGAAGAGCGTAGAGAGTGCTGGCTGGCGTCGTCCTGTGATGGTCGACGTATTTTTGCTTGCTGGGATCCGGCCGAATGACGCCACATGCAACGTGTAGGGTAAAACTAAAAACGCTTCCCTATATGAGATAATATGACAAAAATTGTTTTGGTCACGTGACCAGTCAATGACATTGATATTTCGCTGCGGACGGTTTGGTGGAGGGTTAGGGTCAACGTTTATACATTATAGGGTCAAAGTTAGGACTAGAGTTGTACACTATTGACATTGTGAGGGTAATGGTTAAGGTTTATCACTAGCGACCTTTTCATCTGACCACAATATTGCAAAATGCTATGTTGTATGTCACGTGACAAATTTAGCCGAGGGTCGGAAGTCGGAGGTCGGAAGTCAGTGGACTCTGTTGGAGTCCGCCGGAGTCCGCCAAGCACTCCGCCGGAGTCCGCGGCGGACCGGAGTCCGCCTAGTGGCTTAGTCCGCAGCGGACATTCCGCCGAGCCGCCGCGGAGCCGCTCGGAGTCCGCGGCGGACTTTAAAGTCAGCTCGGAGTCCGCTCGCCAAAATGTACTCGAGTCCAGTGTAAATACATTTTGGCGGAGCACCGCCGGAGTCCGCTCGGAGTCCGGCGGCTCCGCCGCGGACTCTACTCCGCGACGGATAGTGCCATAGAGCAGTTGTATTCAGATATAAAAATGGCTTTTTGCTGAATTGTATGACTTACTGGAATTGCTAATAATGAATAAAATGCTGAAAACAGTTACTCACTCCAATATCTACTAGTGTAATGTGAACAATATTTGAGCAAAATATGGTGAAATCAATGGAATTAGTCAATTGGAGGTTAAAATGGTTTGCTGATTTTTGGCACTCGGTTTAATTTTATTTTGAATTGGAGTTGACGAAGTCCCGGTCGCGGTCCCGGTCAAATGCTGATTTATGATCCCGGTCCGGGATCTTTTACATAATTTCATTCACTGTGATTTTAAGTTTTTACTTTCATTCATTGTGAATTTCATCTTTAAACAACCTCTGAGCCAAATAAAACAATGTTTAAAATTGCTAAACAAGTTTAGGTAACTAATATCGTTACATAACTCATAAGTCAGGCCTAAAATCATGTCCCGGTCACCTCCTGGCAGGAGGTGACCGGGAATCCCGGTACCGGGATTGGTAATTTTGAGCTATCCCGGTCCCGGTCAACCGGGTCAAGTCACATTTTTCATCCCGGTCGCGGTCCCGGTCCCGGTCAAATGCTGATTTATGATCCCAGTCCCGGTCCCGGTTAATTCAGGATTCTTGGTCCCGGTCCCGGTCTCGGTCCCGGTCAATTATGCCGGGATTTTGACCGGGATCTTTTACATAATTTTATTCACTGTGATTTTAAGTTTTTACTTTCATTCATTGTGAATTTCATCTTTAAACAACCGATCGATCTGAGCCAAATAAAACAATGTTTAAAATTGCTAAACGAGTTTAGGTAACTAATATTGTTACATAACTCATAAGTGCAGACTAACATCAAGTTTTCAACTCGGGCTACGCCCAATTGTCAATTGGAATTGGAGAATGAAACTGTTGAATAATTTGAGGGATCATTGATTGAGGAATGAGGAATGATGGTGAACTTGAGTAATCAGTACATGAACATTATTGGTGTAGTACATTAGGCCCATGCCCCATATTGACGGTTTTTAAAAAGTTTTTTCTAATTTAATATTCTAGTTATTACTTATTCAAATTGTTCAATTATAATGTAAATGAAAGTTGCAGCTTTCAATATGAGAATACCAGTTTTGGTCCCGGTCATCCCGGTCAAATCCCGGTCATCCCGGTAAAATTGGATTGTTGG